CCTATCTCCAGGTGCCTGCCTTTAGTTTCCTTCCTTCACTTCCCTCTATGATATGGAAGTGTAAGATAAAACAAGCCCTTTTCTCCTCAAGTTGCTTTTGGTCAGAGTGTTACATTACAGCCTCATAAAGAGAACTAGAACAGTCACCAATGTATTATTGGGGAGGGTCAGGGGACACAATGTACTCTTCCTAGGACAGCTTGGGTAGGATGAGAAGTAAGTTAATGTCTGAATTTTGCTAAGAGTGTTTAGCCTCACAGATCTTTGTTGAGGCCCATCAAAAAGATAAACAAACTGATGATCCTAACAGTATTTACAATGATTTTGATTTTGCAGCTGACACATGAAAGTAAGTTCATGGGGAAGCAGGGAAGCACATGCCCAGTGAAAATACTAGTTGATCAGTTTATGGTTAGGTAAAGTACCTGGGGAACCCAGTGCAAACAAACTTGGAATCAGAGTCAAATAAATGCAGATGATACATAACCTCTCCAGGGAGCTAGTCCCTGGAGAAAGCTTAATCTCCTCCCTCAGCATCCATGGATTGCCCGTAACCCTTCATCTTGAGATGGAACCCAGGAATTTCCCCCCTCCACATCAGATATCAGCTGATTTAGTGGTTAACCCACATGCATACATATGAACACCACTAAAGGGATTCAGTGATATATGTGTGTGTATAGTATATGTATATCTATAAATGTAGCGATAATAAAGAAGAGGAAAAAATGTGATGAAATGGAGGAAGAGCTGGAGAGGGACTGGGAGGGGTGGAAATAACACAACTACCACACTCATGAAATTCTCAAAGAATACATTTAAAAAGAAAAATGTGGATGAAAAAAATGTACTTGCCAAGATTGCAAAAGAGAATCATCTGAACTAGTCCACAAGTTCTGACTGAGTATCTGTTCCCTTATTCAGTTTTTAAGTAAGCACATGCAAACTAAGTGGTACACATGGTTCAGTCTTGCATCCTATTTAGCATCAGCCCTGGAAAATGATCAAGCCTGAACTTTCAGTAGTGTTCTGCCTTTTCCTAAGACATACCCAAGTTTATCAGCCACACTTTTTACAACGCTTTCAGAACAGAGATAGAAGGTCATCATGAATCATATTGTCATCAGTATTAGCTTCCTTTGGCCACTGTAACATTTTACTATAAACTAGATGACTTGAAAGAATAGACATTTATTCTTTCACAGTTCTGGAGGCCAATGTCCCAAATCAAATTATCAACATGGCTATATTCCTTTTAGTTTCTTAGAGGAGAATTCATTCTTTATTTCTTCTTCTTTTGTTAATACAAACTTTTACTGGTGTATGTTTATTGCACATAATGTAGGTTCCATGGCAACACGTTCATATGATTATACCATGTGTAGCCCCACTTCCCTTTTTAATGGCTGCAGGCACGTCTTGACTCGTGGAGGTACACTTCCAATTCATACTTCTGTCTTCATACGGCTCTTTCACTACCTGCCCATTTTCTTTATCTGTTACAGTGATTCTTCTTCATGTATTTAAGGCCTGTCTGGATAATCAAGGGTGTTCTCATTTTGAGATCTTCTACTTAAACCTGGACAGGCCTTTTCCCAAATGAGGTCACATTCAGAACTTAAAGGACCAGGACATTGGTCATACTTTATTAAATTCTGTCCTTCAATCCAATATATGATCTTATTCACTCTTTATTCAGTAGTACATAAGCTTTGAACCTCTTTGGATAATCTGTAAAATAAAGGATTTATCCATTTATGTGATATATATACATATATATATGTATAGTCTAATAAATATATGATTCAAACTCAATCAGACAGAAACCCATCACAGAACTTGGGAAACAGACAGCAGGCCCCAACCTTAGCCAAAAACCTATTGGCAGCTGATTACTGCTGGGTGAGGGAGAGTTGATTTTCTTAAGTGAGAGGCTCTAGATAGGCTGACTAGACTAGAGTAGATCAACTTTCATTGAGGGACATCTGTGTACACAAATTTGACTCCACAGGCCTTCATATATATGACAGACTGCATGCAACCCTGTGGGAAGGCTATGGAGAATATGGACGGGGAGTATTATAAAGATGATTAAAATGTTTTGTATGAAATGCACAAAAATTCAATAAAAATATAAATAAAATAAAATTTTAGAGTATTTAGTATCCTCCAACATAACAACCTACTAATGTGAACTGTGATAGATTGGAGTCACTCCCTTCTTGAATGATAGCATCTAACACTAACCATGATTTGTGTGTGTGTGTGTGTGTGTGTGTGTGTGTGTGT